CCCAAACCCGAGCGTCCTCCGTGGGGAGCAGTGAGCGTTCCCACCGCTCCCGCTGCGGAGCTGCGCTTCAGGCAATCCTGAAGGGAGGCAGAAAACAGGCCCCAAAGCTGCACCCAGCGTGCCGCATCTAAAGAGTAAAGCGGAGGCCGAAAAAAAAAAAAAAAAAGCACCAAACTTCTGAACAGGAAAAGCTTGCCTTAGTTCTGCTGATGCTCGCGACGCGTTGAGGGTTTTAAGTCGAGCGTAGAAGTCAGCACAAAGCGTAGGGAAGGGTAGCGGTGTGATTGGAGAGGGATGAGCGCTGAGTTACTGTCAGGGTTCAAAGTGGGATGGCTGGTGCCGCTAATGAGATAAAGTAATAACAAAGTCTAGGTTGGCAACCGGGAAAATCTGCAATGTAGGTTTGTTTATCTTTTTTCCCCCCTGTTATGTCTTTCAGCGCAAAGTTAAGGTTTCTCTTGAAAAAGCTGGGTTTAATTGTAATTCTTGTAACGTAGTCACTCTCATGATCATTTTTTAATGCCTGTTGTAGCTGTATCACGATGTTAAAATGAAAATACATGTTGTGGTTATATCATAATGTTATTGAGGCAGAAGAGATCTTGATATTTTAAATGACAAGCTACAAGTACAATTGTGAATGTTCTGAATCAAAATAGTGTTATTTGACCTTTAGTCTGTGCTAAATATAAGTGGAAATTCTAGAACTTGAAACTTCTATTACTAGCATAAGTATTATTCCATGAAACATTGTATTCTTAATTATTGTGATTCATCACATTCCCAAGACCTGTGTGCCTTTGTAACGAACTCTCTTTTTTTTTGCAACGTGAGCAAAGCTTTCAGCAAGAAAAGGTTTCTTACTAACTTACGTTCCTGTCTTGTTGCATTCATTTCTGTCCAGCAATTAAATTCCAACAGATTTAGTGGTAGTCCTTGAGATATCTCAAACTTTAGTCCTGATCTTGAGCATTGATCACTTCTGTTCATGGACTTGATTTATAACAAACACAATATTTGTAGTACACAGAAGGTATTGCTAGTAGCATTTGTTTTGTTAGGTATACGTTAAACTTTATTTGGTAAGCTTTTGTATACCTTTTAATGAGATGAGTAGAAACAGTCACTCTTTACTGGCTTGGACAATCCTATTGAAAAGAATAGTATCTATACGTGTGGGTATGCTAAGTTATTCTCCACAAACTCTAACAAGCTTTCTTTTTTCTTAAAAAAATCTTCTGTGTTCTTGCTGATGTTTGAGAGAGCGGAATTAATATTTCCTTAAAGTTATTTGCAAAATGTTAGTGTATGGAATTTCTCTTGTGTAAAATATATGGTTTGAGCATTGCAATGGAGATGGTGATAAAAAAAGGATTTGAAAGACATGGGGAACTAAGCCGAATGTAAGAGTCCTCGTTCTCTGATAAATATTCATGAAGAGCATGGAATTCTTTAGCATATCTCTTCTAGAAGTACTTGTGTCAAAATTGACCTGTTTAGAGGTAGATGTTCTTCTCTACGTTCGGAGTAAGTTCAACTGATTTTGGTGGCAAAGAAAATTTTTCTGGACTTGCCCTTCAGTTATTCCTGAAAAGTCAATACTGTTACAGGAGCTGAATTCCTATCAGGCTTGTGGCAAGGACAGACTCTCCTTTCAGTGACACCCGTGAAACACAAAAAAACCACAATGGAGTTACGTAAGTCTATAGGAAACTTTTAAAGTCTAGTAATGTGACTTTTTGCTAGCAACACTTGAGTGGGAAAGAGCAGGTGTTACTTATTGGGGATGTACCCATTCTAGTGTTGACTAGGAGGGGATTTCACTCTGGATGGAGTGAACTTTGGCAGTCACCGAGCAACCATAAACTTAAATTTGTATTGGTGAATTTTATCACTCTTCATAGTAAATTCTTCTTCAACCACATGTTTTAGGGAGGCAGAGGAGGTGATCTAAAGCTTTAATTTCTTAAGAAGATAGCAAGTGAAGCATTCAGTAGTTGCTCTGACAAAACCTAGTCTGGATAGAGATATGTATTCTAATATGTCACCGAGTTTTCTCCTGATAATGACTCTTCTGAAATTTGAATTGGGCTGTAGGTACTGACAGTAGCACTAATTTTTGGTGAAAAAAATTTGGATCAAAATAATGCGTGTAACAGTCATTACAAAAATCTCTTCATATGTAGAATTTATCTAAGAGATTTACATGTGACGGATGCAATATGGAATGTAGAAATAAGCATGCCTACTCTATGTAAAGAGAATTTATTTTAACTTCAGGTCCTCATAGCTGAATGATGCAAAGCTATTAGGGGATGGCCCTTTTCTAAGCCTTTGAAGCTCTTTTTTTTTTTTTTTTTTTAAGATCTGTAGATGCTGGTTCTTGAAGAGATATGAATAAAAGACTAGCCCTTTCAGAAAATAATTTAATGCTGATACTTTGACTAAGTTATGACCTAGGCAAGATGCTTTCAGACTGCAAAACTTGAGAAGGAAGGCTTGAAAAAACTACCTCCTTGTAGTGCAAACAAATGATTAATCTACATCAACAGAAAATTGTAATGGCAGTTATTTAAAAAGGAGAAGAAAATCCCATGATTTCTGCAATCAACTTCAAGAGCGAGTAAATATCAAGGGCTTTTTAATTTAGTAGTTAAAAATCAATTGAATTCTAAGGAATTTAGGCTTAAATCCACAGTGGGATTGTAACTGGGCTACTTTAATTTGTGAAAGCTCCACGTAATCCCATAATTTTTTCAAGATTTTGCTTAATCTATGGAGAAGACTTTCCTTTGTTTAGCACCGGAAGAATTATTCTGTGTCTCATTCTCTTAAAAGATCTGCTTGCTAGAGTTTCCTTTGCCTGTGTCCCACAGGGGACCTGGTCGAGTAGGCATGAGCAGAACAGACCTAATGCGGAGCTACAAGGCTGCCACTTCTGTTCAGAAACATGGCTGCTGGTGATACTTCTGCTTCTTGTTTTCTCCTAGGCACTTGCCTAGGAATCAAGTTCAAGTCTTCAACTCCTCTGTTTCAAAGGGCTGAAACTTGCATATCTGCTTCTGGTAAATGCCCTAACCCCAGTGTGCAGCTTTGATGGGGATCACTGTCTCTGTCTCCCGTTGAACCTGTTTCTCTTTGAAGAAAAGAAGGTTATCTTAGATTGAGACCCATGCTCACCATGTTATCTAGTGACCGGAGTATGTAGCTGGGGAAGAGGCATTGAATTTTGCTCTAAGAACTATTCCTAGATTTGATCCAATGACTGATGAGTGAAAATGAACAACTGATCTTTGAGAATGAAGCAGAATCCAAAAGTCATCTGCTCGGGCAGCTGAGCACTAGGCTGCAGTCCTCTTTGACTGGTAAATCTTCAGTCGTTTTTTTATGCAAGGAGTAGCTGCAACTTGATTGAAGATGTCCCAACTCTACAGTAGCATTTAATGTGGTATGTTTGGATGCTTTTTTGTGAGGTGGAAATGTGAATTAAAACCATTCAAAAGGAATTGAATTTGTATCTCTTGGCATGTCTGAGAAACCTAGCTACTGAATTAAGAAGATGTAAGGAAATACCACCACCACCACTAACAAAAGAATATCCCCTTTTCTGTTCTTATGTCATCTTCTTTAATTCCTGAGGTCATTAACTTCTGTTTGTGAAGAAGTAAACATCTGCTTTCTGGTGTTAGCCTCCAAGCCCTGGATAAGGGTAGATTTTAAGATAAAGCATTGTCATCTGAGTTTCTAATTAGCTAGTCTAGGCAATGTTCTGCTCAGTGTGCTGGCTCAGTATCCTGTCGCAGGGCTTCAAGACCTCTCCTTGCATTGTTTAATGAGTACTAGTACTGAGCTCTGGAGGCCAGGTGCCAAGTGGATGACATTGCTCATCAGAGATCAAGCCCTCTTGCCTTTAAAGGTTTGTTGTACTTAATAAGAAAACTAGCCATTTGTTCTATGACAGGTAGAACAAGAGAAGCTGGAATTCCTGCAGATTTGTGTCGAGTCCCTACCCTCCAAATAGCCCTTTATTATATCTGAATGAAATGTATTTTGTGACTGGGTCCCGGTTGGCTGGTATGTACGCACTGATTGACTAGAAAAGTAGACAAAACAGACCACTGCTGAGGATGTGCTACAGAGTGTCTTGAGAACTTACCCAAACCTTTTTCCAGATACTGATTTTCATGAAATGAATATATACTTCATATAGGAAGTATCCCTTACCAGGTTTGCTTGAAAATCGTCTGCAGATTCTAAAGTTGCTGTGGGAGAGGAACATCCTAACAGAACAGCATGATTGCCTAAGCTTGGTTTCCTTAGGAAAACAGGCTTAACGTGGTATTTATGGGTCTCTGTCCAAAGCTTGTTGAATCAGTACAGTGACTTGGATTAGTTGTGAAGAATATCATGGGATTAAGTAGTTAAAAGTTAATTTAAAGTAAGAACATCTGAAACGTCCGTCATTGGTAAATGGTACCGCTGTTTGATAAAGGTTTCGAGGCTCCGACCCCCCAATTCCATCGAATATGCTGGTCTAAAATTATCATGAGAAAATCAATGATTTATTATTGTTACTAGGCTGCCTTGCAAACATTAATACAATAACATTTTGCCACTGCAGTAGAAACAGCAAATGAGACTGAACTGTAACTATTTGTTTATTTAACTTTTGAGCTTAGACATGAGCATTTTTCAGTTTGTCATCTGAAGTGTTGCCTTTAATAGCTAATGCTATAAAATTTCTTCTAGCCGTACTACATAAACCTATTTAAGTAAAAACTACCGTCTCCTTTCAAACTGTTTACCTTGTATGTTTGACTAGTTTATCAGCCTTTTCCTTGGATTTTTTTTTTTTTTCCAAGGTACTTGTACTTTGACAGGAAAGAGAAGCCCTGTACATGCATAGACATAGATAGCATGACTACCAGAATGAACAGGAAGAACAAGGGTAATTGCACTGAGTATACTTTCTGTTAAAAAACAAAGTGATTTCTAGCTGACATTCTTTAGTATGCTTGCTTTCTTGTGTGTGTTCAGTGTAGAGCATGGGAGCAATTTGTTCTTCAAGAGGACATCCCTAAAATACATTATGTTTGGCAAGGAGCAGGAGTCTATTAAATAGTTGGCTTATGCTTTTTGTAGAAGTTGATGCAATAATTTGGGGGTATTAACACTTTTTCTTAACATACTGGAGTGCAAGAATGGTAGGATAGCTGGCATGCTTGGTAGAGTACGGAAACCTCCTCTGTATGTGACTGCTGGAAGTTTGAAGAGTTGAGAGCTTTTCCCAGCTGTTTGCTGATTTAATTAGATATCTTCCTGTCAAGAAATCTGAAGGTCAATACATGCTCAGTAGAATCTGTCACTTATGGTGATTAAATATTCAAAAATAGATCTTTAAAAATGGGTGGTGCAGTCTTTAAGGAATCTCTTTTGTTTCATTTCTATGCCGATCAGGAAAACAAAGAGCATAACTATTTTAAAAGCTTCTAAAGAGGGAGGTGGTTATTTTTTGCAAGTATTTGAAGTATCTGTGGATACTAAATGCGAGTGCTATCACCAAGTAGAGATCCCTGTGTTTGAATTAACTAGTGAGAAGTGTGAAAATAAAGACTGCTTATTAGGAGATTGTCAGTGACCATAGCATATTAGCAATTGAGCTGTCTGTGTACTAGCCTTTTCTTAAACCTTCCCATTTGTGAGTCACGATATCACACTTCCTGGAGAAGTCTAGTTTGTGCTGCTACCTGTATCGTGCAGTCAGACAGATGAAAAACCACTGATACCTTTACTAGGTCAGCAGTAACATTGGTGTTAATATTTTACCATTTCTGGTAATGCTGGCAAAAAAGCTTTAAGGAAAGTGTTTACTGGAAAGCTTTACGCTACAATTCTGTGTATTTCTTGTCCTGCTGTTTTGATAGGGAAGCTGAAGTAGATGCGTTAAGTGGTAGGATTCTTTTATAGAGAAATTAAGAAACTTTTCAGGCATTTTGACTCATGATTTGTTTTTGCGGTTACTTGTTTTGCTTTTGTGTTTCCTTGGTTAAAAGATACATGTAGCAATAGCAGATTAAGCAGAAGTGCAGCTCTTGTCTTCCTTGGAAAAGTTTTGACTTGGTGCTTTTCCTAGAAGTTGGATGCAAATCCATTTTTTCTAATGCACATGAGTGTTCTGGTTTATGTTGAAAGCTTTGCCTCAGCAGTTTGGTTTTGAAGGGACAGGTCCAACTTTCAGTTTTTGTTCTGTGTTTACTATCA